GAAGAGTCCTTGTCTAATCTAATCCTTCGTTCTTCATAGATCCCTCAAAGGTAACCCAACCCGCCTCTCCCACTCCTTCCCATCCCAAATGATGTCATCGATAGTCACGGATACAAGTATCATGTACCCGTGGAAAAGACGATTAAGTTCGAGATAGTATATTTGACTTATTAATTTTTTTCTTTGAAGGTTCAAGCTATCTCCACATGGAACTCGTTATATATTGAACCGTTGTGTTTATTTATTTACTATTTAATTATTTATTTACTTATTTATTCATCTGTCCAGCTGTTCTGTAAATAAGGACTACGAATTACAATGAAAAGATGGAAAAAATAAGGGTTCAATAAAACACGAGGAAAAAGCAAATTATATCAAAAAATGGAAAATAGAATTATGAAAATAGATATAAAAATCTAAAAATAAATCAAAAGGATAATACTAGGGTAGGAGATTACGAAGATTCATCAACAAAGAGCATTTAAGGTAGAATGAGCAATCCCTTCATCCTCGTATTCCCACTGCGGAGTGAACACATTCATTTATGCCCCCCCCCCCCCCCCCACAGCTGCTTTCACTCTGCGCAGCAGGCAATAACACCTATTAAATCTAATCAACTAGGTATGCCAGAGTGTTTTTGTATCTCATTGTTTGGGTTTTAGGAAACTTATGAAGTCTACAAACAGGTTATACCCTCAGTTTGGTAATGCAGTAAAATTTAAATTGCCACACAACCATAGGCCAACCATAGGTAAAAAGTTTAGGTTTTTGAGACAAGAGGGCGACGTTGTGTATGCAGGCGAAACTGGTTACTTTTACGATTGCCTGAACCTAACATTACACTGGAAATGCTCAAAAGATTGCAATACCATGCTGAATTTCTAGGAATAGAGGTGAAGTATAAACGCCTACTGAAAGCTTGGATTTAGCTTGGGACAATTGATTGTACCCTTGTTTATTTCTTTATTTCGTAGAGCGTAAACATAGTGATACCAGGTTATTTAGTTTTTAAAAATGGCGATTTCCAATTTCTGTCTGTCCCATCAAAAGGTTAGACCTGTCAAATGACATCATCAATCGGGGGATACTAACTGTGATGCAGAAAAAAGCAGTTAGTGGATTTATAGGTCATCGTCGCACTATTGAACCCCCTTTCTCACGAAGGGCAACTCAAAGAAAGACCACACCCAAACGTCTCCGGGTAACAGGGATCCGTACCATCTTGGGGCAGGAACGTCGAATTGAACAAAGGGTCTCTACTAAGAAAAAATCAAATTTTCTTTTAAAATTCATATCATTCCTGATAGAACGTCAGAAACGCTAGAGCGGAAGAGGCGCTTGGTGGGGTAGTGTGCAATCAACAACCGTTTTCAGGCCTTTGAAAACGACGAGTCCGTCGAAACGTTGGCCAGAATAAAGATTCCCACCTAACAACCTCGAGGCAGAAGCAAAATTAACAGTCTCAAAATCATATCAAATTTTTTCGGAAGTTCAGTTTGTCCATACCTTGCTTTTCAACGCTAACTGTTGATGTTCCTTCACTAGTTGTCGTGCTTCATCTTTATTTTCACCGATTTCATGAAGTGTCAGTAACCATTTCTCTCCCGGACCTTCAATCCAATCCAGAAGCCTGAAACGAGACAGAGGCTATTTCATAGAAGTCCTAGCCATGGCATTTTTCTTTATAGAGGAAGTGATTTCATGCAGACAACTCGTGTTTAAATAGCTAAATCGAAAATTGAAGGCACTCAGACTGACCTGTTCACTCCTTCGGCATGTTCTTCGAGCATTCGACATCGTTCCTCATTTTCAGCTGTTATTTTTGATAATTCGGCTTCTTTTTGAGGTAAAGATGCCAGATGCTGAAATATGTTGATGTACGAATATCGAAGCTTGCATTCTGCCAAAAGGTCAATGGCTACTTTTTCTTGAAAACGCCAGATGCTGAAAAATCTCGAAATGCTGAGTATAATGCCAATTTAGATAACTTGACTCGTTTTTTGGGGGGAA